TGGGCTGCAGCCGGGTGGTGGGGCACGGCCGGGAAGCGGGACGGGGGCGAGGGGGGGGAGCTAGGTGTGGGGGGGGGCGATCAGGTATATATTTTTCTGCTTTCCCCCTTCCACGGCCCCCCCGATTTCCCTCCCACCCCCCCTTTTTCCCTCCTTCTGCTACTTGGATTTTTTTAGCTGCTGCGTCATGAGCATAATTTATGCAAAGAGCTTTGCCGCATGCTGCACCGCCCGCGCCGGCCGCCGGGGGCGGCGGTCCGGGAAGGGAGGGGACGGGGAGCCCGGAGCCGGGGGTGGGGGTGGGGAGGGACCCACCCCACCTTCCAGCTCCCCGCCCGAGGTTTTCTCGTGGGTCGGTTGCTCTGCTCCCTCCGAGGTACCGCAGGGAGGTTATTTCATTTTGGAGGGTGCAAGGACTGCAGCGCGGGAATCCGAACTGGGGCGGGAGGGGGGAGGGGGGGGAGACACCCGAGGTCACCCTCGCTTTAACGGAGGGGTAGATAGGGAGGTGACCGAGATGACTTCCAGCTTTCCTCTCTAGGTAATCAACCGCCCCTTCTCCACGTTCAAAGTCAAGTTCAAGTCCACTTGGCAACAGCTGATGTGCCCTGGCTCTCCAAGCGCGGGGGAGGAGGGGGGGAGAGGAGGGGAGCAAGGTCCTGAATGCTCCCTCGGTCCCACCTCCTTTACCCCACTGGCATTGTGGCCTGCTTCCCTGCCCTCTTGTCCGAGAGGACAAGATGCAAAGGAAAGACAAAGTGTAGTGGGATGGAGGAAAAGCAGTGTTCTGCTTGGGTGGCCTTGCTGGGGATGAGGAGGGTTGGGTTTATCTAGTGGCTTTTGAGAACAGGGAAAGGCCGGGGGGGGGGGGGGGACGGGGAGGGGAGCAGATTCGAGGACCATGGAAAAGCAGATTGGAGAAGTAGTGGAAAAGAAAAAGAGGAAAGAAAAGGGGAAGAATTGCGGAGGAGGGAGGATCCTTAGGTGCAGTGAATGAGTCAACATCAGGCCCCTCACTGTCAGCCTCGTGGGGTCTCCTTACCACGCCCTCATCTCCCTATCCCCCTTGGTGGTCCATGATGAGCTTGAGGTAGGTGGTAAGTAGTGTAAGAGAAAAAAGTGGAAACCAGAGTCTTCCCCACAGGTTTCCCTAAGCCCCTGTGGTATCAGGAGAACTACAGCAGTGGAGGAAGGAAGTGGAGGGGCTGCGGCAGCTGGACCATGGATTGACAGGTGTTTAGGTGACCTGGTGCCTGCTCCCGCCCAGAGGCTCTCCCACAGCAGCTTGCCTTGGGAGGCCTGGTATCACCACGTGCCTGCTTAGAAGAGCTCAGATTTCGGCCTCCTGGGCAGGTGAGGAAGTAGCCTGTTGGTAGCCCACAGGTTAGCAGTCAGAAGGCTTAAGTTTTAGTCTAAGCTTTTTGCTACAGCCCAGGCAAATAATATAATGACATTTCTTATAAAAGGAGGGTTGAGTGCAGCATCTCATCCTGCTAAATTTTTGCTTGATTCCAAGAGTGTCAGCCTAGGCAACCAAGTGATACCCTCATCCCAATAACAAAAAGAGA